GAAAATCTATAAACAAACTATGCAAATATTTAACACGTAATTCGCACGAATTCGCAAGCTTATTTTGAGAATTCGCACGACCCTCAAAAAATTCATTTCACAGTTTGTTTTATAAAATTAACAGCTGAAATTGAAAATTGATTGTGTAATCAGAAGTTTTTAAAATTTTCAACTTTTATAACTAAGGGTTGAACATTTAAACAAGGTTCCACCCATATACAGGTTATTCTGTAATCAAAACAATCTAAAAACATAGACGTACAATTTTTTTTTTAGTTATTTTGTGTTCAAATGACGTACATGTCCCCAGCCCCACCTAATAAACATTTTAACATTTTTTTCAACTTAACATTTAGCAGTCAATTAGCAACAATTTGCAAGCCTATTTTCACAATTTGCAAGCCTTTAGTTGAATCATAAAATTAAAAAAACTAAGTCTGGGTGGAGACACATGTCCCCATCCCACCCATGTCATCGAAAACACATTTTTTAATTATTCTTGAACCATCATTTAGCAGCCAATTAGCAACGATTTGCAAGGTAGTTGTCGAAATTTGCAAACCAATAATTCGTCCGTTTTACGAATTTCCGAAATTTGCACTTATTGCCAGCCCCACCCAGTACCGAAATAATGCGATTTACACTTGCGATTCATGTCAACATTTTAACCTGATAAGAATTTAAAGCTGAAAGTTTGACAAAATTTATCACATTTTAAATTTAATAATAATTTTGTAGTTAAAACTTTCTAAAATGTTCAACTTTAATAGCTAAGGATTGAAAATTTAAAACAAGATTCCACATAAATAGGCTATATATAAATTACTTTATTCACTTTAGTATCATTAAATATACTTCTTAATGTCAGAATCATTTTTCTTATACAATGATATTTTATCATTGAATTCAAATTTGAGACCATCCATTATACAGTGACTCACTTGTAACCTACTGTACAGCAGAGCATATTTTTTTAACTTACATCCCAAAGCCATTATTATTTGAACTTAATATATATTTTTTCACAAGATTTGGGTGATTATTATAGTACTTTCAATAAGTACAGCTCATTATCTTTTGTCTTTTGTTAAGAAATTCATACCTTACTAGATAATACGTTTAGATCATTATTTTTTTACTTCCTGTTGCTTTTCATGACAAATTTTATGAAGAGTCTATCTATAAATTAATTAAGATTTAATAAACGTTTTCATGATAATATTATTCAAGCAACCTCGTTTTTTTGTAATGTATGTAGTTATACAAATCAAATAATATTTCATTTCTTAATCTGAATACGTATGTCGTAGTATGATGGTACTTTTTATCCTCAAAAATGTTCATAAACATGTTTGAAGTTGAATATAATTGGAAGATAGTCAAAATGCCATCAAGATATCAGATATTGTAAGTTAATACAATTTTTAGTTTTTATTAACATAGATCTTTTTATTTAATATAGATTTTTTTGAAATTAAATAATGTTATCAAATAAAAATAGATTTTTAATCAATACAGATTTTTTATTGATTTTTTTTTCAAATATAAATCTTTTTATCAAATATATATTTTTTATTCAATAAAGATTTTTTAACTAAATACAGATTTTTTTGAAATTAAATAATGTTATCAAATAAAAATAGATTTTTAATTAATACAGATTTTTTATAGATTTTTTTTCAAATAAAAATCTTTTTATCAAGTATATATTTTTTATTTTATACAGATTTTTAATTAAATACAGAATTTTTTTGAACATAAATTGTTTTATCAAATTTAGATTTTTTTTATTAAATATATATTTTTTAATAAAAAAAATTTTATGATTTTAATTTAACTAAGAATTTTCATATAATAAACACATTTTATCAAACATTTTTTTATTAAAATTTTTAAAGTGACTTACCAAAAATATTTTTTATCAAATAAAGATTTTTTGTAAGATTTTAGATTTTTTATCACAGTTTTTTATTGATTTTTTCAGCGAATAGAATTTTTTTAACAATTTAATTCATTTTGGATTTTTTGTAAAAAATATTAATTGAATACAAATCTGTTTGATGAAAAATTCACAATTTATAAGATCTATAGTTCAAAAATTTATATTTTATTAAAATATAAATAAAAAATGTTTGATAAAACATATTATATTTAATAAAAAATCTTTATAACATTGAAATCTTAAAAACATCTGCTTCGTAAAAATTTAATAAAAATATGTATATTGAGAAAAATTAATCAAATAAATGGAATTTTGATAAAAAAAATACGTCCATTATATTTTTTACCAACCATGATTTTTATTAGTATTTTTTAAAAGTAGAATATTTTTATTAATTTTTCATCAAACCGATTTTTATTGAATTAAAATCTAAAAAAAATTCTGTTCAACAAAAAATTAAGGAAAAATACTTATTAAACAATTTAAAATCATAATAGATTTATTTTTGATAAAAACTTCGTAATTTATAAAAAAAAATGGAAATTGAATTAAAATCTTGTATAAAAAAATTTGTATTTATTATAAATATTAATAACAAAATTTTTTTTTAATTTTTACTAAATTATAATCAAAAAAATTCTGTTTGATAAAAAATCAACAAAAAAATCTTTATATCATACAAAATTAACAAAAAAATGGTTTTTATCTATTTTTTATTTTTTATTTATTTTTTTGATTTTTCATCAAACCGTTTTATTGAATTGAAATCTTAAAAAAATTCTGTTTAATAAAAATTAAATAAAAAACGTACAATCAAATATAAAATCATTAAAACAGATCTATATTTCATAAATTTCACACATTTCAAAATTAGTACATTATAAAAAATTAAAATTGAATTAAAATCTACTTGATAAAAAAGTCATAATTTAATAAATCTATAATTGATATAATACTAATAAAAATCTGTTTGAAGAAATCAATAAAAATCTGTATTAAATAAAAAATCTATATTTGATAAAACTATTTAAAAAATTAAAAAAAGTGTTAACTGAAAACAGATCAAAACAATTTTATCTTATAGTAAATGATAACATGTTTTATTTACGAGTACATGTAAGAAAAAGGCTATTTCTTTGTAATAAAATTAATTTTAAAAAGTTCAAACTAAGGTATAAAAAGTTATTTAAATTTTTATATCATCATAACAACATTAAAAATATATATACAATTGTAATAATTTAATCTAATTGAAAAATCGTATTTATAAGGCTGGTATAATTAAAAATGACCTATTTTAAAAACTATTTGGATTTATAATATAAATTACAAAATATGTAGTTTTAGAAAATAATTTATAATATGCAAATCGATAGCCTAGAAAACATATGGTAATTACATGCTAAAAATTGGCGTAGAAACGATTTTGAATTTCCGAGTATTTCTCAAAGTGGGGTGGGGTTGGCGACATGTGCAAATTGCGGAAATGCGTATAACAGACGAAATATTGGTTTGCAAATTTCGACAACTACCTTGCAAATTTTTGTTAATTGACTGCTAAATGTTAAGATGAAAAAAATGTTTGATGTTTATTGGATGGGGCTGGGGACATGTACGTCATTTGAACACAAATTAACTAATAACTAATTTCTTATGCGGGGGGCTGGGGAAACGTACGTCAACATACACTAATAAAAGGTAACAATTGTTTAAGATTATTATTTGTGTCATTTTTATTTTGTTTGTTATCATTTTTCTTTATGTGCATGCCGTAAAAAAAGAAAATGAATTCATTAATATATTGTTGAATTGTATCTTTTAAATGACGATCGTAAGTGAATAAAGAATATTGTGTTTTTTTTCGAATTGTGTATTATGAAATTTACTAACTATTAATGTATTTAACTATTTTATAATAATTTATAATGTAAAAATATTATGTTAGTTGGATAATTACGTTACTATAATAACATTATTTTTATAACAATATTTGTGTACTCTAATAAAATAATATCGTATTAAGAAATTAATTTTCTTTAAGCGTTATAAGAATGATCGTCATATGAATGAACATTTAAAACACTTGTATTATTTAGTAAGGATTTTCTTATTATATTACCTTCACTCGACGACAATTGATGAAATTCGAGTTTTATTTTTTTTATTTTTAGTAAAGAAACGAGGTTGTTTTTCAATATTTTTTTTTATGTTAATTGTATTTATATCTTCAGTTTGCATAGGTTTTGATTCGTTTGTAAGTATAGATACTATACTACCATCTATACTGATTTCTATTCAAAGGGTATTAAATTATGTTCAAGATTCATAATAATTATAATAATATACTTTCTTTATTATAATAGCTTGATTATTATATTTGTTAAATAATATTATTATTACCATACATAAAAAATAATTTTATTATAATATCTATAAAATAATATTATGTTAGTTGAATAGTTATGTTATTTTAATAACATTATTTTTTACATTTATACTGTATTCTCAATGAATTGTATATTTTTAAATTTTAAATTACGATATTGTGTTTTTTAATAACTTATTAACTTCATTTAACTATTTTAATTATAATTAATATAATAAAATATAATATTATAATTTATAATGAAAATTATGTTATCGGTTTATCAATGTTATCACATTTTGATAACTGCAAAAGGGGCTAAATTTAGGCAATATTATATACGGACACAAAACATTTTTTCCTGCGAAGATCCATTCGTATCAAATAAAATCTTATCATATTTCCGTTTGCGACCGGCCAGCTGCGTGACCGTTATCAATTTATGTTTTTCAAATGTCATAATCATTCAAAGTTTTTTCTCGTCTAGTCATGCTTTCAGTGTCACAAAGTTCTTAGTTTTTTCAGGTTTCATTGTTTAAGTGTGGTGACACTGAAAGCCCGTTCATATAGTTTTCATCGAGTTTTGTATGTCCGTTAATGTCTATGCTCTTTTCTTTTTCGCACGACCTCCGAGCTAGACGGTTGTTTAGTTTTTTCAAAGATAATATTTTTAACCTCGTTCTTTCATCTTGATTAGTAAGTGTATCTATGGAAATATAGTGTTTTATCAGCTTCAAACATGGAAAGAACTTTTTCGTTTATGATGTTGGCGGTGTCGTTTTTAGGGGCCAAAATTGCACGTTCGCGGGGCCATTCATTGGATTTATTGAAAAGATGAGAAATTTCAGGATAAACTTTGTTGATTAAGTTATTTTGATCAAGAACCGAAATCGCAAATGTAGAATTTATGTGTATCATGCTATCCTCATCATTCTGAAAAGTCCCGTCACCAATTTTCAAAAGATGTTGTGAGAAGAGCTCGGCATTATTATCACCACCAAGATGTACACACATATTAGTTGTTAATCTCAAAGAGGTTATGTAAGACCAAAGATATGATGAATTTAGATAGGCGTTGATTTCATCACTTTTAGTGCCTTTAGACACAACTGGCAATATTTGGCTTAAGTCACCAGCAAAAAGAATAACAACTCCGCCCCTTGGGCGATCATTATTTTTTAAATCCTTCATCGTTCTATCAAGTGTCTCAGGACCACCTATAATAGGTAGGTCAATCCATAGTATATGATCTAAGTTTTCCATTAGCAACGAATAACGATATGAATGGTGATTTTGAAGTGGAAGTTTGAGCGGCCACGTCAAGCCGCCGTCCCTCACCCACTAAGTCTACACAACAGGTCATTATTTATGATAGTTGATAACTCCTTTGCTTTTTAAGTTAGAGAATCGATCAAATGCCACAAACCTTCTCCGCAATGAGCTCTTTAATTTAAAAAAAATCATAAGGATCGGCTCTGTAGTTTCCGAGAACATATCACTCAAAGGTTTTCATTTTCACATTTATATATTAGATGATTTTGTTTTTTTTTATTATTTATCAATTTTTAAAGGGTATTATAATATTTAATTTCTTTGTTAGTTGGAGGATTCAAATATTTTCTTATATCCTTCTTATGGTACTCTTATAATTTTTATTGAAATTAATAAGTATAAGTGGGGATTTGATAACATTTCATTGAAAAAAGCCTTATATTTTGGTGGTGGTCACTATAAAGACCACATTTTCCCAAGTTTTTCTGGAAAAACTGCTAACTCAAAAAAAAATGTAGTTAACAAAATTTGGGTTAAATATCAGAATAAAAGCATTAAAAAAAAAAAATTAAAAAAATTAATTTTGACACATATTTCCCAAATGGGTTTTTTTTCCAAAGAAAATGTCCCCCCCCCCCCCAAAGAGTTATGAACTTGATAGTTTTCATCTTGTCTGTTAAGAAATTCATCATGAGTACGCTTGTTGATAACGGTTTCACAGAAACCAACTCTTCTATCTAAAAATACTCCTGTAATTGAACATCTAATGCAAGAAGAAAACCCTGTATGCCCTTTGTTCCTTAATATATAACTTAACGCTGGAGCATCAGCACAAATAGTTTCAACTAAACTTTTTTTTTACCAACAGGTAGATCCACACCATCAAAACACAATTCTTTCAAGTCAGATATTAATTCTGATAGTAAAAGTCTATAAATAGATCTATAAAAGCCATCAAGGACAACCCAAATTTTAGTAGTCAACATCGCTGACTGGCTGGAAGAGGAAAGAGTGATCGATGACATCCGACGCGCTGACGAAGGTCTGTAGTCAGCATCTATTGTAGTCAGGAACAACTCAGGAGGCGGTAGAGTAGCTGCAGTAAAGGTGTCCATGGCCACTGCCTTGCGTTTGTCAGCTGCAGGTGCCATTGGCATGGGCAATTGCCGTGTTAAGCTGCTCGAAAACAGGAAAGCCAAGTGCTACCGGTGTGATGGACTTGGCCATGTGGCTAGAAGTTCTACAGCAGTCTCGGTGGTGAGGAAGTGTTTCCGATGCCACCGCACAGGCCATCTAATCGCTGATTGCACGGGCGCGCCGAAAAAAAGGGCCAGTGAGCTACCAAGGGCATCACTAGGGAGACACTAGCTTCACCTGGGCAGTCTATCCGCCGGCTTGAAGTTCAAGCAGATGAATATGAATCACTGTTGGCAAGCGTACAACCTAATTCTGCAAACAGTGATTGAGGAGGGTGTTGACGTTGTCATCGCTTCTGACCCCCAGGGTATATCCCATGAGGTGGGCGGATGGTTGCTCAGCCTGGGCACGGGAGGGGCAGCGCTTGGCGTCTTTGGTCAGCGGATTTCTGTTGCCAATGTGGTGAGGGACAATGAGTTTGTAGCAGCAAGGCTGGACGGAAACGCATTTGTGGTCAGCTGTTATGTGTCCCCACGCCCAGCCATTGCACACTTCAAGGACTTCCTCCAGAGATTAGAAAACTGTATTCGTAGCTTGAGTGCTGAAATCGAGGTCATCATCGCTGTGGACTTTAACGGCTTTAACTTTGACTTGAACTCATGGCATTCGTTGATTCGCTAGACCTGGTTATCATGAACGAAGGGTATCGTTTTGTACGGAGCACGGAACGGACCAAGCTGAGAACGTCAAGCAGAACAGGAAATGGAAAACCATGTGTGGGGTGGATACTGAAGCGATGGCGACGGGATTGCTACAGGCCAGGTGGACCAATCCCATTGCGGCCGTCCTTGCCGACTCAAATGTGGCGACCGATGACTTCGAGGCCACGGTCACCGCGGCAGCGAACTTTGACTGCCCACAGCTAACTAGACATAAGAGAGCAGCGGTGCACTGGTGGACTCCGGAGAAAATGCTGTGCGTGGCGGAGAACCGTCAAGCGGCTAGCGGCTGAGACGCGACTAGCTGGACTAAACGAGACACCTGCACTTACCATAGCTTTGTCTTTACTCAAGGATAACAGAATAGGTCTGCGACGGGCCATCGAGCGCAGCAAGGCGCGCTGCTGGAAGGAAATGCTCGACCTGGTGGATCCGACCCCTGGGGAAAGCCGTATAAAATGGTTCTCCGGAAGCTGGCCGGCCCACAACCGACGCTGAACATGGAGAGAGAATCTCTCTTGAAGATTACTGGTGGCTTGTTCACAAACAGGCCGGCAGTTGCGCGTGTAGACATCCCAAATGGGGTGAATTCACCCGCTCTGACGATGGAGGAGTTCTGGAAAGCCGTCCACCACATAAGAGCCAGGAACAAATCACCTGGACCGGATGGTATTGATACGGCCATACTCTTTGCGGTTTCCAAGTTATGCCCCTACTGATTTTCAATCTATATAAAACGGCGGTGCTGCACTTCAAAGTCCGTCCATACACGGTCTAAATAGTAAAATGCATACCAGATTTAACATGGGGTCCTCCGAGTTCCACGAAGGTGCAAATTCGGTTTTTAGACGGTTGCAACGTTCATTCATTGACGGTTCTACAAAAGTGCAATTTCGGTGTTGAGACGGTTGTAAGGTTCATTTATTTACGGTTCTACAAAAGTGACATAATGAATCTTGTCTCGAACTTTGCAGCGAAAAATCTGGGTCAACATCTGAATCATCTTGATCAGAATAGTCAGAAGAATCAAACGATTCATCTAAATCAGTGTTTCCCAATGTGGGCGATATCGCCCCCTTGGGGGCGCTAGACCTATCCAGGGGGGCAATGGAAGTTACAAGCTTAATTGGGGGGCATTTCATTACAAAAAGGGGGCGGTGATAGTTTCATCTGTCACTATCGCAATAACAGAAACACCGTACGTGATCCAAATTATCTGAATTGTGTATTTTATATTTTTAGATTAATCGTTCGTCGTCTGTCGACATTCGTCGATAATCTGTCGTTATTGCGATAACAGAAACAACGTACGTGATCTAAATTATCTGAATTATTTTTGTATTTAGTACACTCGCGAATGCCGACCTTATTCGTTGTCGTTTTTATAATAATTTTTGTTAATTTGTGTATTATTTTATTTAAATTCTAAACATTTTTCACATCATGGCATCTGAATCGAAGAAAAAATGTAGGCAGTATAATATTGAATATTTGAAGTATGGTTTTATTCAATCGCCTACAAATATAACATTACCAATGTGTCTCATTTGCCGAAAAGTATTTTCAAATGAAGCTATGAAACCGTC